TCCTACTTTGAATGTTCGGGGTCGAACTCGTTTGTTGTAGAAGTTTGCTATTTTCTGCTTGTAGACTAGAGTTCGAAGTCGTGCTTCTTCTCTAACGTCATCAAGCAAATCAAGGTTCTCCCGAAGCAGTTGTCCATTGCGTCCTTCATCGAAATGGGTGACTTTGAAGCTTGGAACTCCTATCTCGATAGGGATGACTGCTTCGGTACCAAAGGCCAGATGATAGGGTGTTTCACCTATTTCAGTGGATTATAACTTTAGAATGCGCTTTACACATTATGCATATTTGCTCTAAGGTGAAATCGTCGCAAAAGAAGTAAATTAATCAAATAGGCCAGGTGTAGAGTAATACCTGTGGCAGTTCGACTCGTGGTTCTGTATGCCCAGAGGACGTTGTTGAGCTCGTCTGCCCATTTGGCCTTGTGTTGTTCCAACCTCGGCTTTATACCTTCTAAGATGCAGTTGTTAACAGATTCGACCATGCCGTTGGATTCCGGATGGTAAACCGAGGTGAACTGTAGTTTAATCCCGTAGTTGGAACAGAAATCTCGAAAAGAGGTGCAGTTAAATTGCGTTCCATTATCAGCCACAATCTGATTCGGGATCCCATATCTGTAGATGATTGAGCTGAAAACAAAGTCTTCAACCTTCTTGGAAGTAAGACTGGATAATGGCCGAGCTTCAACCCACTTTGTGAAGTAATCTACACCAACAATCAGGTGGGTTACACCACCAACCCCCTTCACGAATGGGCCCAAAAGATCCAATCCCCACTGAGCAAATGGCCATGGTGCTACCAGAGTAGTGAGTTCTTCTGCAGGCTGGTGAGTCAGGTGTGCAAAGAACTGGCATTTCAAGCATCTCTGAACAAAGTGAGTGGCATCCTTGTACATGTTGGGCCAATAATAACCTTGTCTAAGGACTTTATGAGCCAAAGTTCGAGCACCCACGTGACTTCCGCAAACACCTTCATGTACCTCCCTGAGTGCATATTCTGCTTCATAGGGATTCAAGCACCGTAGAAGAGGTAGAGAGAAAGATCGCTTATAGAGGACCCCATCAAGAAGTGTATACCGAGATGCTTTCCTTCTCAACTTCATTGCCTCCTGCCTGTCCTCAGGTACTATCCCGTCTCGTAAGAAGGAGAGGATTGGATCTGTCCAGCTTGGTGTGCTTGGGTCGGTGCTGATCTCCATCACCCGTGGCTTCATGAAGCTTGGTTCATCTAAGACCTCCACAAAAACTGATCTAGAATGTGAAGAACTATCAGAGGCGAATTTAGAAAGTGAATCTGCCTGTTCGTTCGCAGTTCGGGGGATTTTGCTCAGACAGAATTTTTGGAATTTGCACTTCAGCTCGGCCACCAGAGCTACATATTTCATCATCATAGGATCAACAACTTCGCAGATTGAGTTAATTTGGTTCACCACCAGCTAGGAGTCACTGTATACTTGGATCGTATTGAGTTTTAATTCTAATGCTAGCTGCAGACCAAGTAGCAGGGCTTCATACTCGGCCATGTTGTTTGTTGCATCGAAGTTGAATTTCAAAGCATGTTCACTTCGGTATCCATCTGGGCCCATCAAGAGAGCACAAGCTCCTGAACCTTTGCTACTAGATGCCCCATCAACATATAAGGTCCAGTTATTGGGCTCCGGAGTAGGAATGGAATTACCTGGAGTGCACTCTATAATAAAATCTACCAGTGCCTGAGCTCGGATTGCAGATCTCTGCTGAAATGTTATCTCAAATTCCCCCAGTTCTACTGCCCACTTAATTAATCTTCCAGAACACTCAGGCTTTTGCAGAATCTGCCGAAGGGGTTGGTCTGTAAGAATAATGATTGGATGCGACTGAAAATATGGCCTTAACTTTCTGGCCGAAGTGACAACTGCTAAGGCTGCTTTCTCTGCTATAGGATACCTCAGCTCGGCTCCATGCAGCACACTGCTGATATAATATATTGGTTTCTGCTGCTTGGCTTCTTCTCTTACCAGAACCGAATTAATGGCTTCATCTGAAATTCCTAGATAAAGATAGAGGATTTCTCCATCTTTGGCTTTAGTCAGTAGAGGTGGTGAGCTAAGGTAAGACTTCAGCTCGTCGAATGT